CCAAAGTAGTCGAGACCGTGTCGAACCTGCAGCGCCAGATCAACCGCGACCACGAGCCGCGGAGTGCGCGGCCGCGGGAGCGCAGACTGCCCGAATTGGGACATGTCGACTTTGCGACGCGACGGCAACGCATCCAACAGGCCTTCAATCGCACCGTCCAGGAGAATGAGCGTAAGGCAGAGAAGGCTGCGGAGCTCCGACGGCACGCCCAGGCGCAACAAAACGGTCCTCCTCCGCCCCGTTCGGCGGCACCAGAACGGCCCGCGAGCCCCCCGGCCCCAACCGAGAGCCCACACCATATGGATGACTCCGCGACCGTGATCGAGGATGCCACCGAGGCAAGCCCTGAAGAGACCAGCCCGCCGCGCGTCGTACCGGGTCTCACCGATGCGGAATCGCCTCCTCCGCTCCGAGTCGACACCAATTTCGCGCCGCAGGCACCGATCCCCCAGTCCGTCGAGCCTCTCACCGCGATGGACTCGCCGACGTTAGGACGGCCTGATGCCACTGGAGATCCGCAGGATCGCGCTCCGACCAGCGCTTCGGCCGTTACCCCGGAATCGACCACCACCCGGGAGACGGCCTTCGATCCCGAGCCGCAGACCGAGCTGTCTCGTCAGACCCTGCACGAATCGCACCGGACCCTGTTGAGCCAGATCATGCAGATCCGCGAGTCCAGCCCCAGCAGCTCCTCGTGCGACGACCGCGACTGTAGCTTCTCGGACAACGAGGATAAAGAATCGATTCCGATCATGTTACCCGAGGACCCTCTCGGCTGCGATGCCTCCGTGGGGAGTAGCGATTTTCACCAGCTCCGGACGCATTACCCCCCACACGACGACCGGATGGCGAACGCGCTCGTCAACCGGTGGAGCATCAGTTCGTGGTCTTCCTCGCTCCGCAACCAGAACTCTACCGACGATCAATGTGAAGGCAGCGGGGATGACCTCTCCCAGCTGCAACCCTGCACCGAAGATAGTGGACTGGCGACCCAGTCCTGCTCCGCCTTCTCCAGCACCCCGCCGTCCGTCGCCGGCGATCGCCGCTCCCAGAACCTGTCCCTGCCCACTCACCCGCCGTCGGAGGCGAAGCCGGATGGCGGATCGCAGACGCACCCCTGGGACCACTCTCGCTCCGCCAGCCTGGCCAAGTTGGGCGGCTGGGACTCCAAGCGCGTGACGCAGCTGTACTTTGAAGAACTGGCGCGTGGGAGGGGGCATCGTCTGCCCATCCCGGCCGCCCACACCTCCCTCGACGCCGGCAAGCGTGCCGACGGGCGGACGGACAGTCTGACCGACGACCCGGTCCTGGTGTCCAACGCTGATGGTATCCCGTCGTCTAACCGTCACGCCCACACGGCGAGTCTGATTCTCCGGGATGACTGGGAACACGCCTCCCCGTCGATCATGGATTGGATGCAAATCGCAGCCGATGAATCGTCCCCGCAGGCGCACCGCGGCGCCAAAGCCGACGGTGAGCCCACGCCGCGGCTCGTGACTCCGGACTCGCGCCAGCCGTTCTCGGACGAGGCAGACGGCAGCCTTAGCCAGGTCGGCGACGTCCAAAGCCCTCGAACGCTCGACGTGCCGGACACTCGTCCTCCTCTGCCGTCCCACGAGCCGCCTCCTCCGCCGACGGTGCACGAAGAGAATGGCACCGCCATCATTTCACAGCCGTTGCCCCCGCACCCTTACGTTCTCCCGTCGGCGCGACGGTCCCTCGAGTCTCAGTCGGCGACCATCTTCTCTCCCTTGGATCCGGTCCAGAGCGTCGGTAGTAGCGAGAATTCCCTGCAACGACTGGAGACGACTGCGTCTCCACAAGCCCTGCACTCATCGGCAACGTCACTGGCGCCCTCGGCGTCAGAACCGGCCGCCGACGTGGTCAAGTCCCCCTCCCCCGAGCAGCGTCAGTTGAAGAAGCGACGGCACGTCATCAAGGAGTTGGTTGACACCGAGTATACGTTTGGCCGGGACATGAAAGTCGTCGACGACATCTACAAGGGGACGTCCAGCTCCTGTCTGGATCTGTCCACCGAGGATGTGAAGATCCTCTTCGCCAACTCGGATCAGGTGGTTCAATTTTCCATGGCCTTCCAGGACACCCTCAAGGAAGCGGCCAAAAGCGTCTACGTGATGCCCAAGTCGCAGCGGTGGAGCAGCAGACGCAATGGGCGAAACCGGAACTCCGTCAAAACGGACCATGACGCATTGACCGGGGCCCCGGCGTCGGATATGGAAAAGGACCGGGCCACGTCCATTGGGCGGGCCTTTGTGACCCACGTGGAAACCATGGAGAAGGTCTACTCGGATTATTTGAAAAACCACGACGCGGCCAACAAAAAGCTCCAAACCCTACAGCGGAATCCCAAGGTGGCGATCTGGCTCAAAGAGTGCCGGGAGTGGGCCTCAGACCTGACGGCGGCATGGGATCTCGATTCTCTCCTGGTCAAGCCCGTGCAACGGATCTTGAAGTACCCCTTGTTGCTGTCGGAACTCATCGACTCCACTCCGGAGGACCATCCCGATCGTGCCTATCTCATGAGCGCCTTGGACGAGGTCACCAAGATCTCCGTTCGCATCAACGAGATGAAGAAGCGGGCCGACCTTGTGGGCCAGGTCGTTGGGCGAAAACGCAAAGAGTCCGATGTGAGGACCGGTCTGTCCAAGGCTTTTGGTCGCCGCACGGAGAAGTTCCGCCAACAGGTCGGTCTGTCCGACTTGTTCGAGGATAAGGAGTACGACGCCCTGTCCCAGAAGTTCGGGGACAACTTCTTCCAGTTGCAAGTGGTCATGCGCGATGCGGAGACATACACCCAGGAAGCTCAAAGCTCCATGGATAGCTTTACCGAATACGTTGCTGCCATCGAAGCTTTTATTGATGTGTCGTCGACGAACTATTCCGAATTGGAAGGCAAGTGGCGTGACCTGAAGGTGACTGTGCAGGATATCATGGCGTTGACGTTGCCTCAGCATGTAAGTGTCTCCCCCCCCTCCTTCTACACGGATGTCCCTGTTACTGACTTGTTCCAGCTCGGTATTGTTCGCAAGAGTGTCATCGATCCTATGGTCACGTTGCTCAAACTGCATGAAGGCCCGCAACGAGTGATGAAGAAGCGTGACAAGCGTCTGATGGATTACGCACGCTTTAAAGGCGCGAAGGAGCGGGGGGACAAGCCCGATAAGAAGACCGCGGAGCAAGGGGAGCAATTCGTAGCGTTGAACGAGACTCTCAAGGACGAGCTGCCCAAACTCTACGCCCTGACCGCCAAGTTGATGGAGGCTTGCCTGAAGAACTTCCTGCAGATTCAGACCACTTGGTACAGTGTGCTGCAGACCAAGCTTGGGCCGTTGGTTGAGTCCTTCCCCGAGGATGTCCAGAAGGTGGTGATGGACTGGACCGCCACGTTCAATTTTGCCGAGGCCCAGGTGTCGTCTCTTGGTATCTGCAATGGTTCCTTGCTGGCGGAGAGCCTCAATATGGTCAACTTCAACACGCCTTCGATTGGGGCCACCATCAGCTCCCCTCGACGCCCGTCGACTGTCAACAGCTCGAGCACGCGCATGGGATCTGCCGTGGAGGAATCGCCCAAGGCGTCTCACGACTTCGGCAGCATCCGTCCATTCCAGTCCCCCAGCATTGATGGCCAGTCCCTCGTGTCGCATGGACGCCACCGGGCCGATTCCACGTTCTCGGGTCGTGCGGCGCCTGAGACCCCTGAGATCCCGCAGAGCCAAGCCTTGCAGCGGATCACCAGCCCATCCTCCAAGTCCGCGCCCCAGTCCATCTCCAACACCGAGTCCTTCCCTAGCCTCCCGCGCCTGAGCCTGGACTCTCCATTCCTGGCCGATATGATCGGGAATTCCACCGATGGGGAGCCGGCACCGGAAGAGAACCCCACCTCACCGAGTGGTCGATACTCGGGCTTCTTCTCGTCTGCCATGCCCATGTCCGACAGCCCCCAGGAGGAGAAGACGGGCGAGATCGATCACACGAAAGAACCACCCGCCGTGCTGTTCTTAGCGGCCAGCATTTACGAGTTCAACATCGACCGGGCCCGTCGCGAAGCGGGGTATCCTTATCTGACCTATGTTCCGGGGGAGATCTTCGACGTTATTGCGGAGAAGGGAGAGCTCTGGCTGGCTAGGAACCAGGACGACTCGACGGGGCAAGTGGGATGGATATGGAACAAACACTTTGCCAAGTTATCCTCATAACCCACTTTTCACCTTGTTTCCCCGACCTTTTATCACTTTTCACCTTGTTTCCCCGACCTTTTATCTCTGTCCTTGTTTTTTTTTTTTTCCTACTGCGTCTTTCTTCTGGAAACTCAAAATCGAGTAACCGACTTGGCCTCCCCCCCCGCCAAGTCTTTGTGCCAAATTCTTTTATTTCTTTCTGCCTCCCTGAGCGTTCGGTTTCAATCTTGTGATGATAATGTGGTGTTGGGTGTGTTTCGTGGGGTTTTTTTCTGATTTTCGACCTTGACTGTTCCAACCGGTAGGGTTCAACGGCAGCGTCATGATGGAATATCCTCCATTGTGTGTCTTTTGTCTTTTACTATTTTACTTTGTTACACATCCGACCACTGGGAAGTGGAGAAAACGAGATCTGGCGTGTGGATGAAGGTCTGCGAAGACCGTGGCATGGATGGATTGATTGTTGATTATTGACTGATTCTAAATGCTGCACCTCTGCCAGTGTTGGAATGTGCCTACTACCTACCAACCTACCTGCCTGTTATTAGATACCCCCTCGACCGAACCGAGAATTGATTAATTACTATTTATACCTTATTTATATTAGACGACTTTCCACATACAGTTACTTCGCAGATCAAGGCACGAGAGGCGTAAGGCGCAAGGCGTAAGGCGTAAGGCCGAGACACATCAATATCACGTGCATGGGACCCAGCCACAAACAGCCACAGTGACGTCTTGAGCCTCGGATGACGAACAACATACCTGAACTTGGTTTGACTTCCTTCTTTCCCCAGTTTAAGTCATTTCGAATCCCTGTCTTCCCTCCCCTTTTCCCCACTCCCCGTTTGGTCTTCCGAGGTATAAAGACATTATACTATTCTTCAAGTGATTTGGCTAGTCGACTGCGCTCCCTGTTGATATATCCATCTACCGGCGGAACGGCATATAATCAATCAATCAATCCATCAATCACTCAAGCAATCCCTTGGTTGCGAAAAGGTCGAAACAACTACCACCACCTGTTGATTTGACTCACTCCCTAGACAAAGACATCGAGAGACATACACTGCTGTGTATCCGATCGAGGGCAACATTCGTGCTCGGCTTATTCCATATATATCCCCTCGAGACATACCTTCCTTCCGTCCGCCCGCCCAGCCGTCCGTCCGTCCCTCTGCTCTTCGCAGGCCGGTCATTCAACTCAACTCTTGCTCTGTCTTATCCGATCCGGAGCCGGCATTCAACGGAAGACTCAGTCGATCGCATCGAGCGTTGGTAGATTTTGTGCACAATGCGGGACGGTGGATTGGGGCGGTTGCAGAAGAGGATGAGGCGGTTTGGTGATTCGGTGGGTTTTTTCCTCTTTTCCTTTCTTAGTCTCCCTGGGTGGATGGTGGATGATGGATGATGGATGATGGATGATGGATGATGGATGATGGATGACGGATCGTGGAGCTCCGGCTGATATACTGTTGTAGTTGAATCCGGATGATGCCTACCTTAGCTGTGAGTTTTTGGTTTCCCCTTGATATGATACTGAAATGACGAAAGAACGATTGACTAAGTTGGAGTTTATAGATCATGATATTCGTTGTATGTCCCGTGGTTGTCTCGTCGGTGTGCGCTAGAAAAGACAAGGCATTAATTATTTTTACAGTAACAAGAGAAGACATGCAGTCTCTCAAAAATGACTGGCTCACGGATAATGTGGGTGTTTACCTCTTCCTGAACTACAGGGTCAGCCACGAGCTAACCCATCACAGATCATCTCCTTCTGGGAGGAGTAAGTATTGTCGCATAACCCTCACCTCACGGAGACTGACAGCCCTCGCGTCGGCAGATATCTAGAGCGCGAATTCCTCACCCAATACAAATCCTCCAACATCGTCCTCCTCCGCCCCAGCATGTCCTTCATGATCCTGCAAACCCCCAACCCGCATTCCCTCCGCGAAGCCCTCCCTGACTTCACGCAAACAACGCACGTCTTCCTCCCGATAAACGACTGCCGCAACGTCACAGAAGCCGAAGGCGGCACGCACTGGTCCCTACTCCTGATCTCCATCGTCGACGGGATAGCCTTCCACTACGACTCCCTGCCCCCGGGGAACTACTGGGAAGCGCGAGCAGTGACGACCAAGTTCGGGACGCTCCTCAACCGGCCGATTCGCTTCGTGCATCTTGAGGACTCGCCAATGCAGGAAAACGGCAGCGATTGCGGCGTGTTCGTGTGTCTCAGCATGCGACATCTGCTCCTCAAGAGACTCTTAACGGCTAACGCCAGCGAAAAAGTCAGCATGAGTCTGGGGGGGAGAAAGGTTGACGCCCGGTCTGGGCGTAAGGAAATTGCCAAGATTATTGAAGGGTTTCGAAAAGAGGGCGAGAGACGTCGATCGTAAGCCTCCTCCTTCTTACCCGAACTAAATCAGCTATACCATGGAAAATCAATCTTCTAACAGTTGGATTCACAGAGCAAGTCTCAGCCCGGCAGGAAACAAATCCAACAGTCCACCCCGCATCGAATGATTTAACAATGTCCACTATTGGTTAGCAGTAACGGCATGACATGGCAAGAAAGCACAGAGAGAAAAGAAAAAAACAGAAAAGAAAAAGAGTATAAGGGGTTCATACCGGCGCTTTTTATTTATATCATATCATTACTTTTGTTATTTTGCTTGATTTGTTTCTTTTTCCTTTGGTTGAGAACGGGGGATGGATGTGGAAGGATAGGATGGGATGGGATGGTATGGCATTAATTGACTGGGCTGGCCCACACGCACACACGCGCACACAGTGATGGAATGAATGGTGCTTGGCACTTGATACATAAACAGCATAGCATAGCACATGGCATATGGCATTGTTTCTTGTTTAAATGATGAATTAATAATGCAATGCATATCAGTATGGCTATCCACCTATATAAACCTTGGTATCATCAGTAATGAAATGGATATTGAATGGGTGATGAGGGCTAGTTTTAGTATACTTTGTGGATTGTGGAATTATCCACATGCATGTATATTTTTTTTTTACTTTACTTGTTCATGTTCAGTCTTTCTTATTAGTGTAGGAGAGTTGAGTGATGAGTGTTGAGTCTGATATTATCCTACCTGTGGGTTCTCACGCCCTGTTTGTAGATGATATCTGTGTACTTGTTATCGTGATGCTGTTGTCTTTGTAGTGTGGTAATCCACCTTGATAGAGACCATAGCATATGATATAGTTATGACACATACATATAACATAAATCATATAAGTATAATTCAGAAGAAGCTTCAATAATAGAGGTAAAATCAATCTGTAAGAGAAGCCAAAGCCAAGTCACGGAAATATAAACTGAATTCAATTAGAGAAAATAGACATAGACTTCAACTCATGCTATTTGATATGTAAGAGATAAACAAACAAACAAACAAACAAAACCCACTATGACTCCACTGGTTCACAACAACAATTCAATAAGAACATAGCATCAAAAAGCAGGTATAAACTCCATCATCTATCCATCAGAAGGCATGATTTACAACATTAAATTATTCCACAAATCAGCCGCCTGCTGGCCCGTCAGCCCGCTTTCATTCACCTGCCGGGTAGCGGCAGCGCAGACGTCGAGTGTAGACTGGGGTGCGTCGCAGGGACTCCTGAGACGATTACAGACGAGGGCCATGAGGGTGTCAATTGACGGAGTTGGCTGGTGCTCGAAGTCGTTCTGGTTGTTTGTGACATATCGCCATTCGTTGTTGCCGCCGCCATGCCCGTATTCGTAGTTAATGGACGGGTCGCTGCAATTGCCGTAGTCGAGGCTGCCGAGGGGGGGCGAAGTGGGGCAGTTGGTCACTGTCTCGGTCCTGGTTTCGGTCTGGGTCTCGGTGCTGGTGATCGTGGCGACCTGCGTGATGGTCTCGCCGGGTTGGGTGATCGTGACTGTGTCTGTGATGATCTGGGTGATGGTTACTGGGGGCTCGGTGATGGTGGGGCCGGGCTCGGTGACAGTTTGGGTCACGGGGGGTTCGGTGATGGTTATGGTCTGAGTTGGACCGGGCTCGGTGATGGTTTGGGCTGGCTCGGTCACGGTCTCCGGAGGTAAGGTGATGGTTTGGCCGGGTGCAGTAACAGTAGTGGTCTCAGTCATACCAGGCTCGGTAATGGTCTCAGCTGGCAGGGTGATAGTCTCAGCTGGTAGGGTGATAGTCTCAGCGGGGAGAGTGATGGTCTGGCCTGGCTCAGTGATGGTCTGCGCTGGCAGGGTAATAGTCTCAGCTGGTAGAGTGATAGTCTCAGCAGGTAGAGTGACAGTCTGGCCAGGCTCAGTAATAGTCTCAGCTGGTAGAGTGATAGTCTCAGCTGGTAAGGTGACAGTCATGCCAGGCTCAGTAATAGTCTCAGCTGGCAGGGTGATAGTCTCAGCTGGTAGGGTGACAGTCTCCGCAGGTAGAGTAACAGTCTGGCCAGGCTCAGTAATAGTCTCAGCTGGTAGAGTGATAGTCTCAGCTGGTAGGGTGATAGTCATGCCAGGTTCAGTAATAGTCTCAGCTGGTAGAGTAATAGTCTGACCAGGCTCAGTAATAGTCTCAGCTGGCAAGGT